CTGCATACCAGGCGAGATAGTTAACATCTCCGAGCCACCGTGATGATGATGAGAGAGAACGAGACACGCAAACTCCAAATATACCAAATACACAGCAGGCGTCAGGGTCGGAATCGAACCCACGACCTCCTGCATACCATGCGAGGTAGTTAACATCTCCGAGCCAACTCGGCGCCCAAACGCAAAGCCAACGTGCACCGGTACCCAATCTTCTCCTGGCGTCTCCTGCGCTCAGGTGACATCCACGCAGTTTGTTTCGTGCGTCGAATAGCCCGTCTTTCGTTGACGACCTTCGCACCCCCCGCGAGTTCTCGACTTTCCCCGAACCTCCGATTAGCGCGGTTGGCTACGCACGCACGGGGTGTGAAAGACGTTCAACATCAAAATGGGAAATCTGTACTTAGACCGGAGGAATCCGATGAGCTATACAGCGATTTTCTTCACAGATGTCCAGTACTCACACACACACCTAACAGTTCTCAAGGAACTCTGCTGTACTCGCTGTCTGAAATATTCGCGTCGCTGTTTTTGTTTCCTTGCTGCTGCTGCGGCGAAGCTCACGAAGTCCTACCGATCTCCCTGCGTAAAATCGCCGTGCAACTGGCTACAGGCAATCGGTCATCCGCGCCACAAATCGACGCACAACTTGAGAACCACTCGGGGGTGAGCGCCGCGCTACCGTGGGGACGACGAGGAGGATGGTGAGTGAGTGAGGAGGGAGGGTGAGGAGGGTGAGGTGAGTGAGTGAGGAGGGTGAGTGGGGAGGGTGAGGAGGGTGAGTGAGGTGGGTGAGTGAGGAGGGTGAGTGAGGAGGGTGAGGAGGGTGAGTGAGGTGGGTGAGTGGGGAGGGTGAGGAGGGAGGGTGAGTGAGGAGGGTGAGTGGGGTGAGTGAGGTGGGTGAGTGATGAGGGTGAGTGAGGAGGGTGAGGTGGGTGAGTGATGAGGGTGAGTGAGGTGGGTGAGTGATGAGGGTGAGTGAGGAGGGTGAGTGATGAGGGTGAGTGAGGTGGGTGAGTGAGGAGGGTGAGTGAGGAGGGTGAGTGAGGTGGGTGAGTGTGGAGGGTGAGGAGGGTGATTGAGAATGGTGAGGTGGGTGAGTGAGGAGGAGGAGGTGAGTGAATGAGGATGGTGAGGTGGGTGAGTGAGGAGGGTGAGGTGGGTGAGTGGGGAGGGTGAGGAGGTTGAGTGAAGATGGTGAGGTGGGTGAGTGAGGAGGGTGAGGAGGGTGAGTGAGTGAGGAGGGTGATTGAGAATGGTGAGGTGGGTGAGTGAGGAGGAGGAGGTGAGTGAGTGAGGAGGGTGAGTGAGGAGGGTGAGTGAGGAGGGTGAGTGAGGAGGGTGAGTGAGGAGGGTGAGTGAGCAGGGTGAGTGAGGAGTGAGCAGGGTGGGTGAGGAGTTCGCGTGTGGACGTGGAGTCGCGGTGCGTCTCAGTCCGCTCGCTATCGGGAGCGCAATGCAGCCTCGAGCCAAACTCGCGGGGGGAGGGAGGACGGCGTGGTGGGTGTGGGGGGCAGGCGAGTTTGTGATCAAATTCTTTTGAACTCGATAAACCAAGAGATGTCGGCGCCACGGAGGAGAAGCCACAGCCGTCCAGACGGGACGGGCACGCGGCACATGGGAAAGTTGCCACCACCTACGGATGGTCTGTTCTCTCTCGTTCTCTTGCGTCGTTCTTGTTGTTTTACGCCCAAAAAACCCTCAACTCGCCGGAGTCTCATCTTCTTCATCTAGCTCGTGCGGCTCATGCCGCTGTAGAGCGCTGTTCTTCACTCAGTTTCAGAGCTGGTTGGGGGGGGTGGGGGGGTGCTACTTTCGCCGATAATTCTAGATTTGAAGCTTTCGTGACTGCAAGAATTCATACTGTTAGGTTTGTTTCGGTAAAGCCACGTAGGTAAAATAAAAATAATAGAAATAATAATAGAAATAAAATAAAAATGTATAATATTTTTAATTTTATTTTTACCTTACCGAAAAAAACCTAAGAGTATTTCGCCGATAAGACATCATCAGCGTGAGGGCCACCACACACGTGAAGCCATTGGGGGTTTGACAGCATGATTATGATGGGGGGGGGGGGGGTTGTTTTCACTCTTGGTGTAATGTCGAGGGGGGGGGCGCACGTCAGGGCTGCCGCACTAAAAGCCACCAGGGAACTCCAGAGGCTCGTGGGGGGTCCTTGCAATGAAGAACGCCAGCCGTTGAGCAGCGCCTCTGACTTCACATCGAGGTGGTCGATGAGCCGCCCGGGTGATTTGCGTCCGGGGTAGCGGCGCAGTGCATCTCGCTGTGACGGTGACGACGCTCCGCTCTTCCCGTAGTCTTTGTGAATCGCAGCACTCAGTCTGCGTTCCACGATTCAGCGATTATTCCATGCCGGGTGGTTGACCACAGTCACCGCACACTGCCCAGGAGACCGTTTTTAAGTTTTTGTATTTTCCATTTGTGCATCGTCATCAATTATCCTCATCCGTCGCGAGCCACAGTCTCATGGCCCCAGCTGGAGAGCGGTCGCCGCGAGACGTTCGCGGTTCTAATGCAACGGCCGCCTTGATTAATGCTGCTGATGTAATAACAACGACGACGACGCCCACCGCATTAACGGGCGAAGTCGAATCTTGATTTGAATTTGGCGAAGTGACTCAGTCGTCAGAGTGCCGGCCAACGATCCCACATTTGAATATTGCACCGCAAATGACTCGAGTGGGATGAATCTTCGATTTAAAGCTTTCGTGACTGCATGGATTCATCTTCTTGGTTCTTTTTTCTTGGTTCTTTCGGTAAAGTCACGTAGAAGGGAAGTTGAACAGGTCTGCCTTCTCGACAGACCTGTTTTCCACCTGAAGACGGCTGCTTGCGTTGTGGCCGAAACGTCGTGAGAATTATTTTGTTATGTTTTATTTTGTATTATTTTATTACTTCCCTTCTACGTGACTTTACCGAAAGAACCAAGAAGATGGGATGAATTTCTCACACACACACACGGCGGCGGCAGCGGCGATCTTTGATCATCCAAATTGACAGACGAGTGGCCCAGGTTACTCGTTCTAAATCGGACTCGTCATGATCTCTTGACGTTTCGCCTGGTCAAACGTAATACACTCAACTCGCATGGAGATTCGCCAATAACTGGTGTACGTTATGATCCTCGGCTCCGCATAATATCATACAACGTAGCTAATACATATTACATGCTTATTTTGCTCACGGTTAGATGTTGTACTGTACTGCCGCAACCGACGACGACGATGACTGCTGCTGATAATCATTTTAATACGAAAAAAAAGACAAAGATCCTCCTAATAGCGTCACAGACTATTTGAGGTCACGTGCCTTCACGGCACACGAGAGGGTTTTGTGTAGTTAGCGCCACGCCCAGCCGCTTTTGTCTCCCCAGTGCTTATGTTTAACACACCGCGACTGAGTACTTGTTTCAGGCTGAATCGACCTCGAGGTGAGCCTAGCACTAGTTGAGAAATCACTCGCCACTGACGTTAGCCGTCGCTGAGAATCGAACTCGTTTATCGCAGTGTGCTAACCATTGCGCCACCGCTCCTCAGTGAAAAACAGACTGTTGGGGCAAGTGCTGTACGCGAGCCATCTGTGAATGGCCGGAACGGCACGGTACCATTTCCCAGCCGCCTTTGTCTCCCCAGTGCTGATATTCGATACACACCTTTGGCGGGCGACTCGCTTGAGGCTGAGTCGACCTCGGCGAGGCCCATTACCGTTTCATAAAATCGTCACTGATATTAGCCACGAGCGGGGATCGAACTCGGATATCTGTAAAGGGTTCGCAGCGCAGGTGCGGCTGGCGCTAACCACTTCGCCACCGCTCCGCACGTGCACGCACGCGCAAGCACGCACGCGCGCACAGCGGACCTGAAGACGTAGTCGCCTCGGCTTGCTCCGAACAGGTCTCATTGATTACCCCTGAAGCCCACACAACCCTCCACCCCCGCCCCAACCGCGCCAGGCGAATCACTGTGTGATCGGTGGGAACGGAGACCATTGTGATGCTAAAGCAACTCAGGGTGGGGCGCGGGAGGGAGACTGGCGGGGGGGGCGATCTCTGTCAGATCTCGAGGGTCCAGCTCTCCTCACCCGCACCCCAACCTCCTACCACCACTGCCCTCCTCCTCCTCCGCTTTCTCGCTCTCTCACTCACTTGGCACAGACGTGCGCTCACACAGAGACGTTGCCGACAGACCGAGGCGGCGTTATGCACAGAGCCCCGGGAGTGTATCGCCGCGGTTGTTGCCTGTATTGTGTGTGTATGTGTTGGACGTGATGATATAGGATCATCAGCAGCATCATCATCAGCAGCAATGGGATTATAATATCAGCAGCAGCAGTGACATCTTTGTCAGAAGCAGCATAACAAGCGTGCAGCAGTAACGCAAACAGCTTTACTGAATAATTTTCACCATCGTAATCGTCAGCAGTAGTAATATATTATCATCAGCAGTCGTGGAAACATCATCATCCTCATCAGTGTAAGCAGGAGCAGCACGATGAAAGAATCGCAATCATCATCAGCAGTAGCTGCGGCAGTCACTAGCAATCAGCAGCATCAGCAGCGACAGCTTTATGATTTGCTATCATCATCAGCAGCCGCAACTTAATCAACTTGAACAATTACGGAATCGTTATCAACAGTAGCAGCAAGAGTAACAGTCCAACACAGTCATCATCATCATTAGAATCATTATCATCAGCAGCCTTATCACAATCTCGCCTCTATACCCCTTACGCGCACACGTACATATCGAAGCACTCTTAGACATTATACAATCAAATACAAAAGCCACCTCGACTCGTGCCCGAACGCTGGCCTGTGGAATATAACCTCGTGGAACGCGTTCGTCATCGGCAGCGTTCACGTGGTCACACTCACAGCAAGATAACAACACAATCATTATCACCATCAGTCAGCTGGAGCTCACCAAGTCGCGCGCGCGCACCTCGCATGCATGCGAGACCTGAAGCCGTCATCCACGTAGGAGCAGCGGGGGAAGGAAACGCGAACACCCCACCCGAGCTATGGACCACGGGTTCGCATCTCCACCCCGGTGCATCGCCGACCTCGTCGTCACGGTCATCATCTCCGTGCTCGTCGCCGCCGGCTTCGGCTACGTTCCTCTGGCCGGTGCCTCGGCCTCGTGGTGGTGAGTCGAATGATGTGGATGGTTGTGGTGGGTTGGTTGGTTGGTGGTGGTGGTGGTGGTGCTGGTAGTTTGGACGCTGCGCACACAAACTCGGCCGCTCGCGTTAGATTCGCGCTCACGGCCGTCAACACCAGTGACGATTTATCTGAACCGGTCCTGGGCCTCCTCGATGGCGATTCAAACAAGTAACTGGGTACTGTGTGTATCCAACATTGCCATTAGGGATACAAAGGCGGTCGGGCGCGGTGTTGGCCACCCATCCCCTCGTGTGAACCGTGCCGGCCTTTTAGGTGGTTGATAACAGCACTTGCCCCAACAGTCTAATAAGGCTATACGGGGGATCTTTGTCTTTGGTGCTGGTGATAAAAAAAAAACTACGTTGTTATAACTTCGTATTCGTTACTAAGGTTGTCATAACGTACAATCGTTGTCATGGTGGTAATCGTCATCACTGCCTGACAAAATCATCATCATCATCATCATAGTTGTCAATGTAACATACTTGTCTTCGCTGTAATCATGATGATCATGAAGATCATCACCAGCGTCTCGCTCGTCATCGTTGATCATAATGGGCATCTTTATGATGCGTTATCTTCTAAACTATCGGTGCAAGGATAAATTATCATCATCTGTATAATGATGAGATCATGATCTTAATGATGATTATGATGATGATTCAGCATAATCTCCGTCGTCATAATCACCATCGTTATCATCATCACCACCATCATCGTCGTCGGTTATCGTAACCTGTCGTCATTGTCATTATAATCGTCGTGTTAACCATAATTGCCGTTGTCATCGTCACTGTCATTACCTATCATCATGACTATCATTCATGATCACTGTCAGCATCATCATAATCACAATCGTCGTCATTGTAATCTTCGTCACTGCCGCAGTCATCATCATCATCAGTAATCCTAATTATCGCCATCGCGATGATATTCAGAACGACTATATTCTTGATGATTGTGCTGCTGGTTTACCAAATGTTATTGGCAAAACGACGGCGAAAAATAAAAACACAGAACTAAAGAAAACTACCCAGTCTGGGAGGTCGTGCAGCGTAACCTCCGTTTGTACGACAGTATACATATATACACACTGTCAGTATATATACACTGTCAGTATATATATATACTGACAGTGTGTATATACTGTATATACTGTCGTGCGTGCCTTACCCTCCGTGGCTGCGATGTTTAACCAAATTCGTCACTTCATGAATGTAATCACACATCACACGACGCTATAAACCCGAATCGATCAAATAAGCGGCAATTTGAAAAGGACCTCAGGAGCGGTTCTCTATTGCACCCTTCCCCGGGCTATGTTCTGACCATAACCCAGAGCAAGGTGGTGCATTGCTCACTGCCGGGAAGTTACCAATGGAAAGACATTTATTTTAGAGGTCCTCATCCAGCAGTGGATTGACAAACTTTGGCTGTACATTTGCAATGCGTTGGCATAGCTTCTCGCCCCATACATTCTGGAACGCCAGCAATTGGCAAAGCTCCGCGGCTTCGTTTGTATTCGGATGTTATCGGACCATTAACGAGTGCTCATATACGGGAGAAAACCGGAACACCCGGTAAAAAAACCCCCCATCCGTGCGAGGGAGAAACACTCTATCCCATACAAACGGAAAAGGCGGAGTCCGCATTGTTTTGATGTACCGCCCTCTCCTGGCGAGCTCGGCTAAGGCAACCTCCTCTACGTCCACGGGACGGACAGTTCCTCAACATCAGTGCGATCCACCAATCCTTGCCGCTGTCTGCGCGAGCTTAACCCGTGCCATACCCGTGCCATACCCGTGCCATACCCGTGCCATACCCGTGCCATACCCGTGCCATACCCGTGCCATACCCGTGCCATACCCGTGCCATACCCGTGCCATACCCGTGCCAGGTCGTTGGGTGCCGTACCCGTGCAGAGGCCCGAGATGTACCTGCTGGGCGCGCAGCCGCTGTGCGCCTCGCTGCCGGGTCTCTCCCCCGGGCAGCGCAAGCTCTGCTCCCTCTACCAGGACCACGTGGCGCACGTGGCGGCCGGGGCGCGGCTTGCCGAGCGCGAGTGCCAGCACCAGTTCCGCGCCAGGCGCTGGAACTGCAGCGCCGGGGAGGGCGAGCACGCATACGGCAGGGTCACCGACACGGGTGAGCTCGTGTTTGTCTGCCTGCCGACTCAGCTGTCTGAAGACTTACCTGTCTTCCCGCCTACCTACATATCTAACTACATACCTGCCTACCTGCATACCTACATATATACCTACCTACCTGCCTGCCCGCCTGCCTACCTACATATCTACCTACCTGCCTGTCAACCTAACTGCCTGACCGCCTACCTACATAACCTAACTCACCACCTGCCGACCTGCCTGTCCCACCTACATATCTGACTGCCTCACCACCTGCCTGTCTGCTTGCCTGCCTGCCTGCTCATCTGGCCTGAGTTATGTCTGCACACAAGAGCAGGTGCGTGGTTATGAAGTGTTTCTATGGGAAGGAATTCGTTATTTGTTGTTGTTGTTTTTAATATTCAAAGCGAGGTAGAGGAGCGGGAGGAAGGAAGCTCTTGAACCTGGGACTTGAGCCGAGGCAAGGAGGGGACAGCACGGAAGGGTGGGGGAAGGGAGTTTCCAGACCTTGTGGGCAGCAAACGAGAATGAGCGACCATCCCCCCCGCCTCACTGAGTTATAGAGTTCTACGGAAAGCCTTGGGGTTGCTGGATTGGAGAGTGTGTGACAGCAAATAGGTCCACGTAGGATTGTGCAGTGACGATCGTTTGAGGGCAGTGGCGGAATGAATCCGTGTCGGATTCGGTGCGCGTGCCGCAGTTTCCGCCACACATTTCCTTACCCTCATTCCGAACACCCCATCACCCTCGCCACCCATCAACCCCCTCGCCATCAATGAGGCGATGACGTGCGGTCTAGCCGCGTATCTGTTGCAGAGGTTCGCGGTTCTAATCGAGCGGCCGCCCTGATTAATACTCTGGGTGTACGGTATTAATCACAAACAACAACAACGCAGCAATATTTTGCCTTACAGTGAATGTTAAAGATCGTGTTGCGTCCTTCGCAAGAGCACCCATTGTGTGGCCGGATGAGGCCACTCGAAAAATCACTCAACACACACAGCCATCGGCACGGGCGAACAAAAACACACGTGGCAGTACCCTAGCCCCGAACGAAGAAGAGGAAAAATAACGAAACCAAGTCATGAGACTCAGCGAGGGGTTTCCCGGTGGTTGAACAAAGCGTAGTTATAATACGCAATGATAATTATACATTTTTAATTTACCTATTTTAAATGAGAAAAACGTGTGCATTTGTGTCTTTCGTTCACATGAAGTCCTGGTCACAAAAACAAAGTTTGTGGGGAATAATATTCGATTTCTATACTTTTCAGGCATACGCAATAAAAAAATAACACTTAGTAGCCAGGAACAAGAATTGTGTTACATAGTGTAATAAACGTGATATTAGTGGCGCAACTTACATTACGAGCTCGGGGGGGGGGGGGGGGGGGGGCAATCAGTCAGGCGATGCCCCGATATTTAATTTGTCTCGCACGGTCGCACCGAGGCTGTGAGATATCCTGGCTTCTCTCGTTACCCTCACGGTCTCGAACATTTCACGCTGTAGGGGCGCTCCGTCGCCCAAAATTCACCCACTACAGCTCCGTAGCGCCTCTTTTGAATAATTACGCTGCTGCTCAAATTCAATTAAAATAAAACGTGGAACGTAAACAAGAGCATTTTCATTTAAAAACAATTAATGTAAACCGAGTATAAAATAAGTTGTTAATCTTCTTGGTTCTTTCGGTAAAGTCACGTAGAATGGAAATAATAAAATAATGATAAAAATAATAAAACAAAAATTGTATTATGTTTTATTATTATTTTATTACTTCCATTCTACGTAAAATAAAAATAAAACATTTTATTAAGTTGTATTTTTATTATTTTATCATTTCCATTCTACGTGACTTTACCTAAAGAACCAAGAAGATGAATCTCTGCAGTCACGAAAGCTTTAAATCGAAATTTAAGTTGTTAATCTTCAACACTGCTGTTGAAAACATTCTCATCGTGGTGGTCTTCAAGGGTGCCCCAACTCGTAGCTTTGGTCATCAGTGGGGTGCCGTAGGGGGGGGTGCAAGGCACCCCCATGCCCCCCAACGCTCGTCACGTTCCTGCGTGATGGTAACCAACCCCACCTCCCCACCTCTCCCCACCTACCCCAAACCCCGACTCCCCCACCGCGTGCCAGGCTCTCGCGAGGCCGCTTTCGTCTTCGCCGTGTCTGCCGCGGGCGTGACGCACGCGGTGTCGCGCGCGTGCCGCGAGGGGGACCTGGCCACGTGCGGATGCAGCCGGGCGCCGCGTCCGCGCGCCCTGCAGCGCGACTGGCTGTGGGGCGGCTGCGGCGACAACACCGAGTACGGCTACCGCTTCGCCAGGGAGTTCGTGGACGCCAGAGAGCGAGAGGACAGGGGAGCCGCAGAGCCGCGCCGGGCGCTCATGAACCTGCACAACAACGAGGCGGGACGTCGGGTAAGAAGGGAGGGGGGTGGTGGGGGGGGGGTGGTGGAGGGGGGGTGATGGAGGGGGTGGGGTGGTGGAGGGGGTGGCGGGGGTGGTGGTGGGGGGGTGGTGGGGGGGTGGTGGTGGGGGGGGGGGTGGTGGTGGGGGGGGGTGGTGGTGGGGGGGTGGTGGTGGGGGGGGGTGGTGGGGGGGGTGGTGGTGGGGAGGGGTGGTGGTGGGGGGGTGGTGGTGGGGGGGGGATGGTGGTGGGGGGGTGAGCGTGCCGCGCTATGAATCCGGCGGGCCGAGATCGAGTCCCGCGAGCGGTCGACACCGGTGACGATTATCTGAACCGGTCCTAGGCCTCCCCCTAGGGCGACTCGGCCTCAAGTGAGTAGCTGGTGCGGTGTGTAAACATCGTCACTAAGGAGACAAAGACAGCCGGGCGTGGTGTTGGCCACCCACCCCCTCGTGGAGCTGTGCCGGCCTTTATCGGTGCTCGCTAACAGCACTTGCCCCAACAGTCTGTTAAGGCTACACGGGGGATCTTTGTTTCTTGTGTGTCGGGCTGTCCGACACGGCGCCGATGCCTCGTTCATACGAAAACTGATTTTTGTGTTCAGTTTTCTGTCCTTCCACCGCACCTCCGATTGGCACTGTTTTACTACGTAGGGTGCGAAAGAAGTTCAATATACACCATGCAAAAACACGTGACCTTGAATGACTTTCAGGAGCGCCGCATTCCCGTCACAGGCAGGAGGACCTCGCTGCGATGTGGGGTCCTGACTCTTTAACAGGACGTCACCGCAGTGACGTCACGAGAGCGGTTGTCTGATTTTGTTTTAATCATCGGGACGATGAACGATACGACAGCAGATTATGATGATGGAAATTCGATTCGTGGATTGGCCGATGAATATTAATGGACGGCATCGTCTTAATCACCTGCGGCATCTTCATGATCAGATGAATAATTATCAGCTGCATCACGATTCATCACCAGCTGCATCAGACGCATCGCTGTAAGAATCATCATCAGCTCCATCATCATTGACTGCGTCACTGCAATAATCACCATCAGCTGCGTCACTGTACAAATTATCATCAGCTCCATCATCATTATCATCAGCTGCATCATGATCATCATCATTATCAGTCGCTTGCGTTGCGATCGAAACGTCGTGATCTATTATTTTGCCTACCTACGTGACTTTACCGAAAGAACCAAAGAGTATGGATTCCTGCAGTCACGAAAGCTTCAATTTAACATCATCATCAACCAGAGTAGTACAACAGCATCAGTATATTTTAAGGGATTAATGTCAGGCCGCTGTTCCGAGGATTAGCAGCCCTAGGAAAATATATCTACACCCGGCACACCACACCCAGAATACCCTCCACTTATATTTGTGGCTACCGTAGTCACGTGGTGCCATCTTTCTCCAGTAGACCAGCAGCGACTCGGGAAAAATATATATAATTCAGTGAGAAATTCAACCCTGTATCATCATCGGAGTACCATCATCAGCTACATCGCCATTATAGTATCATCAATCGCAGCAGTAGGCACACGGTAATTATTTCCATGCAGTAGCATCGGCAACACATGTTATATGCAATGCGGTCTTTCAACGAGGTTGGGTTTTAACGGTCAGTTCATGTAGAAAATGAACAATAATCCTAATAATTGTAACGGTTTTAGTGACCACATTTACAATATCTTAAGTTGTTTTTTGAGCTGCATGCTAGTCGTACGGCACGAGTGTTCCGAGGAGCGGTGTCGCTGTTGTTAGCGCACTGCGACTGCGAACTCAGCATCGATGGCGAATATCTGAACCGGTCCCGGGCCTCCCCGTAGGTTGACTCAGCCTTAATTAAACCAGTAGCTGTTGGAGTGTGTGTACATCACCAGCGGGGGAGACAGAGGCGGCTGGACGTGGTTCTGACCACACCACATTCTCCTCCTCCGTCGTTCCCGCCTCCATAGGTGCTCCCTAACGGCACTTTCCCCAACAGTCTATTCGAGGCTATATGGGGGATCTTTGTGTTTGTTCTTACACGAAAAAATAATCATCAGACAGTTCGGGCAAGTGCTGTTAGCGAGCACCTATGAAGGCCGGGACGGCACACGGAGGGGGTGGGTGGCCAACACCCCGCCCGACCGCCTTTGTCTCCCCAGTGGTGATGTTTACACACTGCACCAGGTCCTCATTTGAGGCTGAGTCGACCCGGGGAAACGCCAGGGCGGTTCAAATAATCGTCACTGCTGTTGGTGGCCGTGAGCGGGAATCGAAATGTGGGTCGCCGGGTTCGTATCGTAGCGCCGCGTACCACCGCTCCCCGCTGCTATCGCAAAGAGAAAGATTACAAACATCCCAACGTAGAACCTTAACAGACTGTAGGAGCAAGTCCTGTTGGCGAGCACCTCTGAAGGCCGGAACGGCACACGGAGGAGTGGGGGGGGGGGTTGGCCAACACCACGCCCGTTCTTACACACGCAGAGAGACACAGACACACGGGGAACTGGCGTGGGCCAGAAGGCGACATCAAAGACACAAACTCCCCCTTTTAGTGGCGACGCCAGGAGGCGACATTGCATCCGCCAATTATTTCCTGCGTTCGTTTCAAAGCGCAATCACCAAACCAACGACCACCTAACCAGCCATCCAGCCGGCCACAACCAATGCAACAACCGACACCACCACCGCAACAACAACCAGCAAATAATTACAATGACCACATTGAAGCAGAGAAAACAAGGGGTTACCCCAGAGGAAGGAGACAGGCCGATGCCACAAAGGAAACGACTGAGCAGCGACCCATCGTTTATGGGTTTATTTTTTTTTATCTTCGCACGGAGATGCAAAATCCGGCTTTGAAGAGAGGGGGGAGGCAACCAAGAGTTTATTGCAAGGCCAGAATTTGTTTCTGTTCATGGTGGGGGGTTGGGGGTGGGTAGATGTGGAAAGTGGAGGTGGGGGGGGTGTTTGAGGGGGAGAGGCCGAGGGCGAGGTTGCTTTTTTGTCAATGCACGTGTCTTTTCACGTGCTAATCAGGGTACACGGCGCCAGTATGCACGTGGTAATTGTGAGCAGACTGGATGGGGGGTGAGTGGCATGGGCGCGAGTTGGGATGTTTTGCTCTCGGTGGCGAGATGTTGACTACCTCGCCCGGTATACACGGCGGCCTTATATTCCAGCTGGATTTTTCTCCGGGTCCTCCAGGTTTTTTTTTAACCTCTCCACATTTAGAATCAATGTCACGCGTTTCGGGTACGGTGTTCGGCTGTCGTAAATGTCCACGTGTTTCGCCACGTCGTTGAGCTATTATTTGTGGTCAGGTCGCTTGTGAAAAAGATCAACATAGCTCAGTGGGCCTTACCTGAAAACATTGTTTTTAATTGTTTATACTTCTCGGTGTATGCCCCCGAACGCGTTCGCTTAGGACCTACGCGTGCCTTAAAGGTGCTGCTGATGATGACTCGGATAAATTGATAAATATTAAGGTACTATCAGCCCACACATCCTTTGGCAGCCAGTGAGCAAAACGTTTCTCTAATATAGTGTATGGGAAGTGTATTTTTTTTTCATTTGCTGTACAGCCAGTTAATACGACAAATCGCTAACCTTAAACACCCAGTCGTTCATAAAAGTTGAAGGCAGTATAGTACTATAGTAATAGAGCAAGTGCAGAATCACTGAACCGGAATTGATAGTTCGAAAGCATTTAGCACGGGGCCCTTGAGAGTGCGGGGCCCTTGAAAGTGCGGGGCCCTTGAGAGTGCGGGGCCCTTGAGAGTGCGGGGCCCTTGAGAGTGCGGGGCCCTTGAGAGTGCGGGGCCCTTGAGAGTGCGGGGCCCTTGAGAGTGCGGGGCCCTTGAGAGTGCGGGGCCCTTGAGAGTGCGGGGCCCTTGAGAGTGCGGGGCCCTTGAGAGTGCGGGGCCCTTGAGAGTGCGGGGCCCTTGAGAGTGCGGGGCCCTTGAGAGTGCGGGGCCCTTGAGAGTGCGGGGCCCTTGAGAGTGCGGGGCCCTTGAGAGTGCGGGGCCCTTGAAAGTGCAAGTCCCGTAGCATTTGTAGCTACTTTTGCTGCGACGATAATCCGGCACTGGTGACGTAATTTACTTGACCGCGCGCCGGCCAGGAATCCAGGCAGGAGCCCAGCCAGCAAAGGAAAGGTCTTAGAAAAAAAGCCCTTCTCGAGGGTTTTTATGGGCTACTCCTCCACATCATGGAAGAGCGTGGGAGTCCCGACCCAGATGGATAAGTGACGTATTATTAAAGTAACCGGCACTCATTCGTCTCTATAACCCAATCATCCGAATTTGTGTATGACATCAATATATTATGGGTTGTTTGTAGAGTGTATGTGTCGCTTGTTTCTGTGCGTGTGTGTTTATGGACTGTGTTTTGTACTAAAATTTGGAATGTGCGTGTGTGGGTGAATACTTGGTGCGGTTTGTAAATATCTACAATGGGGAGAGAAAGGCGGCCCAGCGTAGTGCTCGCCACCCATTCGCTCGGTGTGCTGTTCCGGCCTCCATAGGTTGCTACTCGCTAACAGCACTTGCCCCAACAGCCTACTAAGGCTATACGGGGGATCCTTGTCTTTGTGTGACTGTGTCTCTGTGTGTGTCTGCGTGTTTGCTGAAACCGTTGCCGATGCTGTTGCTGCTGACAGAAATATTGATTGTAACGCTGTTGCTGACAATCGTATTGCCGATGCTGATGCAAACAATTATAATGCGGCTGCTGCTGCTACAGCTGTTGTCAATGACAGTGTTACTGCTGCCGACGGTCACATAGCTGACGCAGCTGTTGTTCGGTGGCGTTGTTGCTGCTGCTGGACTACAGAGTCTGAATATTTATACTGGATGAATCCTATGAGCTATAGAGCTCTTTGTGAAAGCTGTCCGGTAAAGTTCATCGTAATTCCCAGGTTTCTTGAAACCGAGAGGTAGCCGGCTCGACATTCGGGAGCGGCAGCTGAACCACCGGTGGAAAGTTTATTAAAATTCCTCCGCCTTTGTCCAGTGCTGGATTAAGCTAGTGCGGGGCCTATAGTTTATGTTATAGAGGGGCCCTAAATAAAAAAATATTAAAACAGAAATTTAAACTTGCATAGTAAAGTAATTATATGTTTTAATTTGCTATACAGCCAGATAATACGATAAATCGCTAACCTTAAACACCCAGTCGTTTATAAAAGTTGAAGGCAGTATAGTACTATAGCAATAGAGCAAGTGCAGAACCACTAAACTGGAATTGATAGCTTGAAAGCATTTAGCGCGGGGCCCTTGAAAGTGCGGGGCCCGTAGCTACATGTGTAGCTACTCTTGCTCCTGGGATAATCCGGCATTGTCTCTGTCCACCCAGACGTGTAAATAGATGCACCACAGTATAGGCTATCGGCAGGGGACGGCTCCGAACAACATCGTTGATGCTGCTGCTGCTAATGCCATTGATGCTGTCAATGATGCTCCAGCTACTGCTGCTGCATTAACTCCTGCATCAATTCACACCAACCTCCCACCTCCCACCACTCAAATCCTCTCTCTTGTTCGTCCATCTTTGTTGATGATGACCATGATGATGGTAAAAGTGACTTGCGCAGAGAACTTGGATTTAAGTGAGGGTGATTTGCGCAGCGTCAACCTCACTCTCTCGACCAGCCCCATCTGTACTCAGTGGTAAAACATAGTCAAGACGGCTGGAAATGGTCCTGGTTGCAGTGGAAGGTCCAAAGACCCGTTTTGGTGGAATTTCCTCCAGGGGTTCCATAATGCCCAGGCTCAGACAAGCTGAGTTTTCAGGGTTAGTTAAGCTGCTGACTGTAGCGACTCACCAGGGATGTTGAGCCTGGTGTGTTGTCAGCTGATGACTGTAGTGACTCACCAGGGATGTTGAGCCTGGTGTGTTGGCAGCTGCTGACTGTACCGACTCACCAGGGATGTTGAGCCTGGTGTGTTGTCAGCTGCTGACTGTAGTGACTCACCAGGGATGTTGAGCCTGGTGTGTTGTCAGCTGCTGACTGTACCGACTCACCAGGGATGTTGAGCCTGGTGTGTTGTCAGCTGGTGACTGTACCGACTCACCAGGGATGTTGAGCCTGGTGTGTTGTCAGCTGCTGACTGTACCGACTCACCAGGGATGTTGAGCCTGGTGTGTTGTCAGCTGCTGACTGTACCGACTCACCAGGGATGTTGAGCCTGGTGTGTTGTCAGCTGGTGACTGTACCGACTCACCAGGGATGTTGAGCCTGGTGTGTTGTCAGCTGCTGACTGTAGCGACTCACCAGGGATGTTGAGCCTGGTGTGTTGTCAGCTGGTGACTGTACCGACTCACCAGGGATGTTGAGCCTGGTGTGTTGTCAGCTGCTGACTGTAGCGACTCACCAGGGATGTTGAGTGTGGTGTGTTGTCAGCTGGTGACTGTAGCGACTCACCAGGGATGTTGAGCCTGGTGTGTTGTCAGCTGGTGACTGTAGCGACTCACCAGGGATGTTGAGCGTGGTGTGTTGTCAGCTGGTGACTGTAGCGACTCACCAGGGATGTTGAGCCTGGTGTGTTGTCAGCTGCTGACTGTAGCGACTCACCAGGGATGTTGAGTGTGGTGTGTTGTCAGCTGGTGACTGTAGCGACTCACCAGGGATGTTGAGCCTGGTGTGTTGTCAGCTGGTGACTGTAGCGACTCACCAGGGATGTTGAGCCTGGTGTGTTGTCAGCTGGTGACTGTAGCGACTCACCAGGGATGTTGAGCCTGGTGTGTTGTCAGCTGGTGACTGTAGCGACTCACCAGGGATGTTGAGCCTGGTGTGTTGTCAGCTGGTGACTGTAGCGACTCACCAGGGATGTTGAGCCTGGTGTGTTGTCAGCTGGTGACTGTAGCGACTCACCAGGGATGTTGAGCCTGGTGTGTTGTCAGCTGATGACTGTAGCGACTCACCAGGGATGTTTAGCCTGGTGTGTTGGCAGCTGCTGACTGTACCGACTCACCAGGGATGTTTAGCCTGGTGTGTTGTCAGCTGGTGACTGTACCGACTCACCAGGGATGTTTAGCCTGGTGTGTTGGCAGCTGCTGACTGTACCGACTCACCAGGGATGTTGAGCCTGGTGTGTTGTCAGCTGCTGACTGTAGCGACTCACCAGTGATGTTGAGCCTGGTGTGTTGTCAGCTGCTGACTGTAGTGACTCACCAGGGATGTGGAGCCTGGTGTGTTGTCAGCTGCTGACTGTAGTGACTCACCAGGGATGTTGAGTCTGGTGTGTTGTCAGCTGCTGACTGTAGTGACTCACCAGGGATGTTGAGCCTGGTGTGTTGTCAGCTGCTGACTGTAGTGACTCACCAGGGATGTTGAGCCTGGTGTGTTGTCAGCTGCTGACTGTAGTGACTCACCAGGGATGTTGAGTCTGGTGTGTTGTCAGCTGCTGACTGTAGTGACTCACCAGGGATGTTGAGTCTGGTGTGTTGTCAGCTGCTGACTGTAGTGACTCACCAGTGATATTGAGCCTGGTGTGTTGTCAGCTGCTGACTGTAGTGACTCACCAGTGATGTTGAGCCTGGTGTGTTGTCAGCTGCTGACTGTAGTGACTCACCAGGGATGTTGAGTCTGGTGTGTTGTCAGCTGCTGACTGTAGCGACTCACCAGGGATGTTGAGCCTGGTGTGTTGTCAGCTGCTGACTGTAGTGACTCACCAGGGATGTTGAGTCTGGTGTGTTGTCAGCTGCTGACTGTAGTGACTCACCAGGGATGTTGAGTCTGGTGTGTTGTCAGCTGCTGACTGTAGTGACTCACCAGGGATGTTGAGCCTGGTGTGTTGGCAGCTGCTGACTGTACCGACTCACCAGGGATGTTGAGCCTGGTGTGTTGTCAGCTGCTGACTGTAGTGACTCACCAGGGATGTTGAGCCTGGTGTGTTGGCAGCTGCTGACTGTACCGACTCACCAGGGATGTTGAGCCTGGTGTGTTGTCAGCTGCTGACTGAACCAACTCACCAGGGATGTTGAGCCTGGTGTGTTGGCAGCTGCTGACTGTACCGACTCACCAGGGATGTTGAGCCTGGTGTGTTGTCAGCTGCTGACTGCACCAACTCACCAGGGATGTTTAGCCTGGTGTGTTGGCAGCTGCTGACTGTACCGACTCACCAGGGATGTTGAGCCTGGTGTGCGCCTACGGTAGCCAGCGAGAGGTCCGGCCCAGCTGGAACAAGCCTGATACACAACTAACCCCCCGCACCCTCTCTCCCTCCGTCTCCCCCAGGCCGTGTTCAACTCGGCCGAGGTGGCGTGCAAGTGCCACGGCGTGTCGGGCTCGTGCTCGCTCAAGACGTGCTGGCTCCAGCTCGCCGACTTCCGCAAGGTGGGCGACTCGCTGCTGCGGCGCTACGAGCGAGCGGTCGCGGTGCGCGCCACGCGGCGCGGCCGCCTCGAGCCGAGCGGACCCAACAAAGCGCCCCCGCCGGCCCCGCCGGTACCCCCTTCCCCCCTCGGGGGGCCTCTGCCGCCGTCGGGGGCAGGAGGTGGAGGAGGAGGCGGCCAGCAGGGCGTGGGTACTGCTGCGGCTGCTGCTGCCGCCTCGGCGCTGGCGGAGGACGATCTGGCGTACCTGGAGGCGAGCCCCGACTACTGCGCGCGTAACGGCAGCACGGGCTCGCTGGGCACGGCGGGGCGGCTGTGCGAGCGCGCGAGCACGGGGCCGTCGGGCTGCGAGCTGCTGTGTTGCGGCCGGGGCTACGACCACTACAAGGCGACCGTGGTGGAGCGGTGCCAGTGCAAGTTCCACTGGTGCTGCTACGTCAAGTGCAGGAAGTGCTCGCGCACTGTGGACCAGTACGTCTGCAAGTGATTGGGCGGAGGGGGGGGTGCTGGTGGTGGCGTTTGCGGCAGCGTAGCGGTGAGCGCGCCGCGCTACTGAACCCCTGCCAGCCGAGTTCGAGTCCCGCTCACGGCCACCAACACCGGTGATGATTATCTGAACCGGTCCTGGGCCCACCCCTAGGTCGACTCGGCCTCCAATGAGTACCTGGTGCGATGTGTAAAAATAACGGCACCGGGGAGACAAAGGCGACCGGCACGTGGCGCTGACCACCAACCCCCACGTGTGCCATGCCGGCATTCATAGGTGCTCGCTAACAGCACTTGCCCCAACATTCTGTTCAGGCTACTCGGGTGATCTTCGTCTTTGCTGTTGACGGCGTCGGGGAACGGTGGCGGGATGGGCTGTCCCCCCACCTTGCCCCCCCCCAACCCCCTCTCCCGCTGATGAGATGAAGATTGACGTGGAGAAGAGAAGAACAGGCTTGCATACGCATGGATCGTGGTTATCGCCTCTCGTCTTGCGTGCGTCCGTGCGTGCGTTTTCTTCCTCTCGGTCTTCGGGAAGTATTTAATTAGCAGTGAAGGAGGGAAGCTGGGCGTGCGTTGGCGTGTTCACAAATGGACCCCTTCTGCTGCTGCTCGCTGTGTGTTTGTACGTGATAAATGTGGCCGTTAAAATAATAATACCGACGGAACTTTACACTAAAGTTCTGTTGATATCGCATCGACGCTGCGAGCGTTATCGTGAACCCACGACGGACAGATGAACAGAATTATAATTTGTGGACACTTTCAGACGGCGATGACGATGATGATGACGATGAATTATTTAGTAAATTTGCTATCAGCTCTCTTCTTACAGCGCCGGGCTATGTATGCACCTATTGTTGAACTTCCTTTGCACCGTACATAGGCAACAAACTAAACAAAATCATCACGAGAAGAAGACGCTGCTTGCGTTTGCCACATAACGGATAGAGTCTGTCAGAAGGGAAGGGAGGGGGGCGATGCTGTCGCTGCAATTTTTTTTATTCAATTCAGTAACTTTGCTGATCATCTTTTTCTAAAATTCGGTCAAATTTTGGGCCCCGGCACCAGCAACACGCAGCCCCCCCCTCAACCAACGCCGTGCCGAATTGTACACGCGGAGAGAGTTTCATGAACGTTCGCGAAGTCCTCCTTGCACACGTGGCAGCGGTGTACTGATGAGCTCCCAATAAGGGAGACACCGGCACACACAGTGCCGTTTATTTATCATTCTTCTGCCAACATTTAAATATATGTGCACAAAAAAAACAATGCCATATTTATCGGCTCTTTTAGAGCTCGTGGCTGCCGTGATTAAATAATAATGTGGGGGGGGGGGGGGGGGGTGATGGCATGTTGACATGCAAAGTGAGGCTGAGATTGCTTTGCTGTTGGAAAACCTTTTGTCGCATGCAATAATAATACTTTCATTTTATACAGCGTCATTCATGCCAACAGCATCCCACAACGCTCTACATAAATTATACACAACGACCAAATCCTACGTACGTGCGGTTGGCTAGGTATGGCGTGAAAGAAGCACAATGCGCACGCACACACACATTTACCAAGCAAATTTAAATCCCTACTACCAAGCGAAAAAAAAAGTTAATAAGCGGCACAAAACCAAAAAAACACATTTTTTTGTCACTATTATTAATAATTATAATGTATAATCATATATTGTACTGTATAACGAAGCAACAGCAGTGTCGGTCTCATGCAACTCGCTTGCTTTCTCACGCAGTTGCGCGCTTTGTGCTACCATAACGAACGCAGCTCATGTTACGATAGATTTTTATCTAAATAATTATCGATTTTTCTGGCTCGTTTATCATTAGGACTATAGAATACAGCGTCGAGCAAGACACCGAATAATAGCCATCATCATTAGCATAATTATAATCCATGGTCAATCCACTGCTGGATGAAGGCCTCCACAATCTGCCTCCAGTTGTCACGGAACTGCAATGTGACAATCTCCACAGACTAACAGAGTGGTGCAGCATCGCTGTGATGCTGGTGCTGGGCCTCCCCTAGGTCAACTCAGCCTCAAACTAGTACCTGGTGCGATGTGTAAACATCGGCACTAGGGAGAAAAAAGGCGGCCGGGCGTGGTGGTGGCCACCCACCCCCTCGCGTGCCGTGCCGGCCTTCATAGGTGCTCGCTAACAGCACTTGCCCCAACAGCCTGTTAAGGCTATACGGGGGATCTTTGTCTTTGGTGATGCCTCCTCCCTTCGTATTTGTGAATCGAGGCACCGAGTCTGCGTTCCGCGCGCCGTGGTTCACTTCTGGGTGTTGATCACAGTCACCGCACACTTGCCGGAGAGAGTTTTTAATTTTCCATTCGAGCAGCATCATCATCCCCTGAAATCCGCCGCTTACAAAATTAGAATCAAGAAGAACCCTGAATGCATTGAGACAACACAAAACATCATTGATGAACGTTCACAGATTACAACCTGCAATCTTAACAACAGCGTGCTAAATTCATTTCAAAACAGAGTGCATGAATCACGCTATTAATGTTACTGGAAGTCAGTTTGACCATTTGTTAAAATACATTCAATAGCAGGACACGATTTGTTAAAATAAATGTACCAACCCGATGTGTCCTGACTTTTGGGCCACCCTGTATATACCGAGGTAATCAACAGACACAAACAATCCGCCTATGCATTCATGCATTAGGCAGAAGGCTGCACGTGCAATGGACGGACTCGCTTCCTCCACCCTGCCCCCCCCCCCGCCCACTATGGAGGAACGTGGAATTTCCACCGACAAGCCCGAGTCTCTGCAGGGCTGCCACGTCGCGCGGGGAACCGTGGCGGAGAGCGAGCGGTGAGGCCGACGGGGCCAAGTTCAGAGAGGCTAAGACTTCCTCGCGGACACGGCCACGACACCGAGCTGTCGCCTCCTTCCTTCTGCCGGATCGCTCGCAAGTCGCAATAGTCGACGTCTGACTTGGTTTTTTTTTTGCTGCGTTGCATCGAAAGCTGTGCAACATCTCTCTCTCTATATATATACTCTTTGGTTCTATCGGTAAAGTCATGTCGGTATAAAATACAATGAATCACGATGTTTCGGGTGAAACACGGACGCTTGTGTTGCGCCCGAAACGTCGTGATGTATTTTCTTTGTACCCACGTGACTTTACCGAAAGAACCAAAGAGTATGGATTCCTGCAGTCACGAAAGCTTCAAATCAAGATCTCTGTCTCTCTCTCATCGGTGGTGTCAAACGCCTGGTCCACACCCGAGCCATGGGTCCCGGCAACTTGGTTCCATGCAACGGAGATCGCTCGCGTGTGTGTATGTATGTATGTATGCGCAACCGATTGTGTGCAGTTGCTTGGACGATATAACACGTGGGTGCACTCTCTCTCTCGCCACTGCCATCGCCTGGCCACACCTCGAAGCCCCACGCCGACAACACCCTGTGATGGTGGTGGTGATGGTGGTGGTGATGGTGGCGGTGATGGTGGTGGTGATGGTGGTGGTCACCCATTGAAGTGATAACCAGGCTCAGACATTTACGTGATCTGACAAGATCGTGCGCAGTCAGGGTGTCTTGATCTTAGGCCAAGATCAAATCAGATTTTTTAAAAATATATATACAGGAGGAATCAGATGAGCTATAAAGCTCCTTTTCACAGATCTCCAGTCGGTGCGGGCCAGAGCGTCACAACAGCAATCACTACAAACACACGATCGGAGGACAAACGATCAAGCTATGCTGAGGTTACTATAAAGCCACGACAGAGATGTCACGTGCCCCCACGCCTCGAGTGAACGCGGTGTCAGCAGGACGTTTGATTTCACGTCGTGAATTCGCGTCGTTTTGTCGCCGACGCTCCCTAACGGGCACTCGAAAATTTATCCTGCACGGTATCCACGCCGTCGCCTTCAACCCCCCTCCCCCGCCTCCCCCGCAGGGCGAGGCGCCCGGGTTGAGATCGCTGCCATTGATGTTTTGAACGACGCTTTCAAATTTGTTTAATTTAAATAACGTTTCGTTATCGTTCCATAGTTTTTGTTTTTTTATAATTTGTATTCTTATTCGATAAAATACCGCATCGAGTGTTCGTGATCTTGCTTAATTTAAACAAAAAAATGTTCTATGATGGCACTGTAGCTTTTTTTCTTTTTATAGCAGTGTGAGTTGCGTACGCGAATTAGCAATATATTCCGAATTTCCGCAATGTCACTGCTCTGAATTGCTGTATGCCTTGTGTATGTCCGTCGTTGTATATCTGTAAATGACACATGTATAAACCGCGGAAGAAGTGGTGGCCTTTATGAACACGCAAATTTTCCATTAAAACAATTCTGGCGATCGTTAAGCGTTGCTTGTTCATCATTGACACAATCATCATCATTATTGTAATTATTATAAACGTGACTATTGGTGTATAAACGATGAACACTAATTTAGACCTCGTAACAATATATGATTCGCTTACATTTTGTAGGCAATGTCATCATACAATTAAACATCAACATCAGCAGCAGCATGTGAAGCGGTATCAGCATAAGCATCACGATCATCATCGTCGTGTTAAAATACGTACAATATATATAGGGTTTAAAAACAATGCAAGTAAAATTGCCCAGTTTAATACGTAGATCGCGTAAATATATCAATGTGTCGTTAAACCCATTACCACCAGAACACAGCCATTTAGTAAGGGTTGTCACGTAAGCAGAAACATGCCAATGCGTCACTAGTACAGCAACACCGGTGTGTTGGAGAGCCAAACCACAACATTTACAATCTGATTACGACGTTTCGCCAGTAATTACAACTAGCTTCATTAGGCGACAGTTAGTTGGCTGTGTCGGGTGGTGGCGGCTTTAATCGATACATGTATACATTTCCTAATCAAACGAATAAGTATAACCCGTAAAAATAAAGTTTTTCACTATAAATCCTTTATATGCGTGGCGGCTAGAGTCCTCTCGTCCTCTGGCTTGAGATGGCTGCCACCTATGGGTCAGATGATTGCTTTGCACCATTAAGCAATTGGTAATTAAATATAATATTTTTGTCCTAAAAAGCGTAAAATTTTGGGAAAAAAAATTCACGAACATTAATTGTCACGCACAACGAGTCTGTGTGGAAAATGTCAGCTCGATTGGATCACGGGAAGTGGGTTAAAAAACGACCGAAAGATTTGCACGGTCCTAAGCAAGCAAGCGAACTTAATATAAAGGATTTAAAAAACCCAACACTTTCATTATTCACACCGTGGCTTTAAAAGAAGTAAATGCATACAATACGCGACGTTTTGGGCAACGGTCCTCTTCTTGACAACATATAGGCCAGAGAGGTAGACTGGCCCATGTGCTGTGAAGAAGGTCCGTTGCCCGAAACGTCACCACTTATATTTGTTTCTTCTTTTGAGCAGCGTTCATTGTGCGTGTGCACCACTGCCTAAGCAGCAGCAGCAGATATTTAAATCCTTTATATTAAGTTCGCTTGCTTGCTTGCTTGCGTGCTTGCGTGCTGCTTGCTTGCTTGCTTAGGACCGTGCAAATCTTTCGGTCGTTTTTTAACCCACTTCCCGTGATCCAATCGAGCTGACATTTTCCACACCGACTTGTTGTGCGTGACAATTAATGTTCGTGAATTTTTTTTCTCCAAAATTCTACACTTTTTAGGACAAAAATATTATATTTAATTACCAATTGCTTAATGGTGCAATGCAATCATCTGACCCATAGGTGGCAGCCATCTCAAGCCAGAGGACGAGAGGACTCTAGCCGCCACGCATATAAAGGATTTATAGTGAAAAACTTTGTTTTTACGGGTTATACTTATTTAATTATTCCATCTTAATCTTCACCATTGTCCGTGCGTCTGTTAACACGTTACCTCTTACGTCACGTCTCACGTGACCGCTCATGTTACCCCTCAAGTGCAGCTGGTGGTTAATTGACTACGAGCACTGACAGCCGAGTTAGAGTCCAAGATGAGTGGCGAGTGATTTGTCAACCCGGTTATGGCCATTCCTGTTCAACAGCCCGTTCCTGTTCAACGACCTGTACATATAGTAGTAGGTTTTACACTTTAAACTGGTACAAAACTGACACCGTTATACAAGGCATCATGTTTGCAATAACCGCAACACAAGCAGTCAAAATGCAAACAAAAAGAAACAACTCTGATAATGGTAATGATATACACTGTCCTTGAAGTTGATTGGTCCACACCCGAGACAGCTTTCCTTAGAGCCTAGTCTCCATTGGTGTTGGACCAGATGACGCCAAAAGGCGTACAACTCAAAAACAGTGCACTATCAGAGTATTGAGAGCTCGGGGTAAGCATTTACACTATGAGACCTCCTTTACCAGTGGCAAAATATAGTAGTAGGTTTTTACCCTTTAAACTGGTACAAAACTGACACCTTTATACAAGGCATCATATTGCAAACATGATGCCTTGTATAAAGGTGTCAGTTTTGTACCAGTTTAAAGGGTAAAAACCTACTACTATATTTTGCCACTGGTAAAGGAGGTCTCATAGTGACCTGTACATTTGTGTTTGTACATCACTGCCCACACATTCTCTGACCATTCATCATGACCATCACGATCCATCGGGCAGATAGCCCGCAGTAAGCGTCCACTGCACATTTCCTCATTTTGTTTCCACTTTCCTCTCTGTCGTGTGTCAATATGCTCAAGCAGTGTGCCACATCTCTCTGGCACCAATCTCTTACACTGGTCAACACACTTTTTCTGGCATAAGCTATTCCAACGGGTTTAAGGTAATTTTGGGGTGCTGATTCCAAATCTGGCATCAGTTTTTGTCTATCACATCAGGTTTTTGAGATATCAAATATTGCATTTTCAATAAAAACTGCAGAAGAAAAATATTTAATAAATGTGGATATCTACATAAAATTATATTATAAACACACCATCCTAAAAATACAGCACCATATTTTAACACTAAAGCAGTCACTGACTCGCAACAACTTGCAATCATAAGTGACAGAGTTAATTTCGGGTAAAATCAATGAAAATGGGGTATGCCGATAGCATAAAAATGAGATGTGATAGAGCAAATCTGAGATCAGATTTGGAATCAGCACCCTGAAATTAGTCTAAAACAGCTGCAAAAGTCCAGGCCAGAAAAAAAATGTTTTTTTTGGTGACCAGTGTTTTATATTGTCATCCAGGCACTTTCTGTGAGGTCTTCCTTTCTTTCCGGTTCCTTCCATTCCCTTGCCATTCTCGTCTTGCGAAATGCCCAATGTCCAAGGTCTCCTAGCCACGACGAGAGGGCTTCAACAGCAGCAGAGAGTTTCGATTTAAAGCTTTTGTGACTGCAGGGATTCATCTTCTTGGTTCTTTCGGTAAAGTCACGTAGAAGCGAAATAATAAAATAATAAAAATAAAACATAATAAAATAATTATCACAACGTTTCGGCCACAACGCAAGCAGCCGTCCTCAGGTGAAGAACAGGTCTGTCGGGAAGACAGCGCATGCGGTGTTTCATTCAGACGCTGTCTTCCCGAAAGACCTGTTCTTCACCTGAGGACGGCTGCTTGCGTTGTGGCCGAAACGTCGTGAGAATTATTTTATAATGTTTTATTTTTATTATTTTATTATTTCCCTTCTACGTGACTTTACCGAAAGAACCAAGAAGCAGATAGAGTGTTCGTGTTTTTTGCTGTTCTTCATCCTCCTCCGTCGAAGGAGTGCAGACGATAGTGTTTCACTCATATCGTCTATTTACTTACAATGCAACTCCCCGTATGTATGCACGTATACGTTCAGAATCAGAATGTTTATTTATACTGGAAGAATCCGATGAGCTATGAAGCTTTTTTTCCACAGATGTCCAGTAAAGTTCTTCGTAATTCTCAGGTCTCTTGCGAACCCCGAGGTAGCCGGTTCGATATTTATACCCAGACGTCTAAATGGATACACCAAAGTTTAGTCGATCGGCGAATCGCGTGTGTTGGGGCAAAGTGTGGGGTAGGTCCCACTTCTTCCAGCGTGGAAGACTAGGCCAAAGTATAGTCCCCTCTAGAAGGTCTCTCTCGTGCACGGGTCGGCAACCAAAATACCAAGAGACATTTTTTTTGGAATTCCGTAAAAACAAACTAAAATTTTTCAAGAGCCGCAATGCACGTGAACGACTTCACGAATCGGTCATTTAAAGAGCCGCATGCGGCTGCGAAGCTGCAGGCTTCCGATCTCTGCTCGAGCGCCAGCAACACTCGCAGGGAGGCAAATTTAACTCTTGCTCTAACCGTTTAAAATGTTTCTAATGGTGCAGGAAAACACAAACTTCTCGACCCAATCAAAACATCAGGTCCTTCTTCCACCAGCGGTGACTCCGGCGAGAAATTGCAGGGTTGCGCCTTTACCCATTTTTTTGCGAGAGAACAGAGAGAGAAAAAAAAACAGACTTCTCAGCTGATAAAACAAAAGCTACTTGACTTGTCTGACTGCCTCAATTGGGGGCTCATCAAAGCAAGCCCCTTGTAAAAGCCAAACGCTTGTTTGTCTTTGTGCACTAAGCCTGGCACTGGCTGGTCGCGACCGCAACCGGCCCGTGTGTGCCTCTCCCACAACCACTCCCCTCCACCACCCCTCCCCCCAACCTCCTCTCTCTCTTCTCTCTTCCTTTCTTTAATTTGGGCACAATGGAATGGGAGGTAACGACAGGAAGTATCCCGAGTAATAGCTCAGCTGAGTCGTAAAAGTGGGGTTGTAAAAATTAGCATTCCGCCGTGTGAGCGTAGGGGGTGGGTGGGTTAAGTGGCTCTGTGTGAGTACGCGTGTGTCTATGGGTCTCCCCTACGTCGATTCAGCCTCAAATGACGACTGCACTGTACCTGATGCGGTGGCTAAAACATCGCCACTGGGAATGACAAAGGCGGTCGGGCGTGGTGCTGGCCACCCACCCCCTCGTGTGCCGCTGCCGGCCTTCATCGCTGCGCGCTAACTGCACTTGCCCCAACAGTCTGGTAAAGGCTATACGGGGGAATCGTTGCCTTTGCCTGTGTTTGTGGGGAGCGGTCGCGCGGTGATTGGCGCGGTGCGCCACGCGCCCTGCGCTCGAGACCCATACCGCAGTGGTCAATATCCGAACCGGTCGTGGGCCTCCCGTAGGTCGACTCAGCCAATCGCGGCGTGTTAAACATCAGCCTTGGGGAGACAAAGACGGCCGTGCGTGATGTTGGCCACCCACCAACCCCCTCGCGGGTGTTGCGCCCGCCTTCATTTATGCTCAGAAGCACTTGCCCCAGAAGTCTGTTAAAGGCTGTACGGGGGATCTTTGTTCTTGTGGGTGTGTGTTGGGGGGGGGGG